TGATGACTCAACTAAAGAATTAAAATTAGCAAGGCAAGAAAATTCCAAATGAGGTGAGAAAGCTGTAGAAATAGTTCCAGATCCTCTAGTACCGAGCCATTCAATATCATTTCTGATGACAGGGACAGAGTTAGGAACATTCAATGTGGGTGTGAGTCTTTTTCATACACAGGGAACCGGGTAAGTATTTTTTGAGGAAAATAATGCATGAATCAGGACCAGCGCATTTGGTTTAACCTCTTGCAGGCTGTAGATATAAAAACAGCAGGCAATGCTGCTGCTTGGCTTTCCTGGAGCCTATTTATGCCTCGAGAAGCTAAACAATAGTCACAAGTCTACTACTGTCTCAAGCCCAAGTATTACTCGCAGAAAAAAAAAAAAAGATGCAAATGACTCATGTTTTAACAAAAGCATTGTTCTTAAACTCAGTACATGGAAAGAACCAACCAAACAATTATTGAGAGGCAAGTTTTGTGGTCCTGCCTCCTCCGCTACCAGGTGATAACACAAAAGGCCTCTGTATCCAGCGAAGTCTTAATTGAGTGCTTACAGCACCTAGAAATTTACAGCAATTTTCAGAAATGACATAAAATAATTCTAGAAGATATGCCAGGAAGATATGCCAGGCTCAAAGGCCTCTCGTCTCTTTATGCTTCTGGGTTTGATAGCTCCTAAAGATTCTAGAAGTGTAAGGAAAGAGAAAAAGACTAACCGAGGCCTTATCAAATGCACATACAGATGATCGGCTTGGTACCTCCCTTGCCTATCAATGCAAACTACAGAAAGTCGATCTACTAATCAGCTCAGTGAGTTGTATTCATCTTCACCTTCCCAGTCAATGGTGTTTATTATAGATCCAGAGGACCAGAAATTAGCAGACGTGGTTTTCTTCTGAGTCTGCCTTATACCTGTGAAAATGAAAAGATTTGCCTTCTCTTCGTATGGATTATTTTTTTAAAGCTCCAGAAATGAAACCCAAACTAATTTGGTAAGATGTGTTGTTGGATCTTTATCTTGCTACAAAGTTATCTGACTACTGTCAGAGGGAGGATCCTTGTTAAAAAGAAAACAAAAACAAATGAAATGTCAGTTTTCCTTCTGCGGAAGAGCTCCCATTTCTACTGATACTTTTTATCTCGATTCTTTCCAGATTTTTGTAAAGACATAAGATAAAATGTAACAGCTCAGAAGGCAAAGATAACATTGCAGAATCTCAATGAGGGCCCAACCTACAGCGGAGTTAAATATTGAGAATCATTCAAGGCATTTCAAACAAAAAGCACGATTTGGGGATCACAGGTCTGTTCAGTCTGCCCCCATGGGTGAGAAGTTACAGGGTACAGAGAAGGAGAATCCCACGCAAGGCTAATAAAATGCACTCTGATTGGATGAAATGAATTTTGATTTCTGAACTATCCCTCTATCCCTCTTCAAGGGACTGTGACCGTGGGGTTTTATCCGCTGGAATGCATGGGAAGCTAGGAAAAAAAAAAAAATAGCAGGGGAATATGTGGAAGTTCAAAAAGCTTTTTGACATCTGCTATGTGTGTGTTTAAAGACAGCGCGGAAAGTGTGATACTTATTTCCATCTGACGTCATAGTCTGTGCAAAGCCTCAGTCTTGGGCCGAGCGCACAGTAGGCCCGCAGCAGGTGCTGGAGAAATGAATCTGAAGTTTCATATTAGCTCAGGCCCACGTTTGCACCTGCACTTTTCCCTCTGGTGTTTTCATAGGCTAGCCCCGGCACCCCTTTTGGGGGGTAGTGGGCCTGATGTCACTGTAAACAAAGGCTGGGGGGCTGCGGTGGCCTGCGAGTCCTACATCCCCCCTCTCCTGCCGCGCCGGCCTGCAGTCTGGGCACCGAGGGGGAGAGCGGGAAACATTAGCGTGGGCCAGCTGCCGAGCCAGGCGGGGTCGAGCGAAAGGTCAAGGTCGGCCGGGAGGCGGCTATTGATCCGGCTTGGAACGCGAGACAGGGAGCGCAGCAAGACTAAAGGGGGAGCTGTGAGACCAGACATTAACAGCTTTCAGCGCTAATGATGCCCGTGCCAGACGGGCAGAGGCAAAAGGAGGAGACTGGAGCGGCGGCGGGGATCGCTCGTGCCTGCGCCCGGCCGCCTCCCGGGAGAGGAGGAGGAGGAGGGGAGGAAGCGGAGGGGAAGGCGGAGGCGCGGGGCGAAGGGGCCCGGCAGGGCAGCCTCTGCCCGGCCGCCGCGGGGTGGAGTGCGCCGCGTGTCCGGCCCTGCGCCCGCCTGCGCCCGCGCGTCCCTCTTCCCGCCGTCGGGGCAGCGCGGGGTCGAGGAGGAAGTGCGTGCTCCCCTGGTCGCCCGGGGCCCGAGCCGCCCCTGCCCGCACTTCCTGCCGGGGCGGGGCAGGTGCGCCCCCTCCCCGGCCCCCGCGACCCGGCGCGCGCGGGTTGGCAGCTGCAGTTGGGACCCCTGAGCCCCCTCGCGCCGCCCGCCTGCCCGCTGAGGGGCCCTCTTCCCCGAGGGGGTCCTCCCAGGGCCGGGTCCCCTTTGCTGCAGTCCATCCCGAGAGTCACGTGTCGCGATTTCGCGCCGGGGCCACAGGCGGCGCGGGACAGCTGGCACGCCGCGGCGTTTGGCGTCTAGATCTGTCCGTGTTTCGTTGTGTGTCCTTGGGCAAAGTACTAACCCTCTCTGGGCTCCGCGCTCACGGCCAGGTCTCAGAGAGAGGGCTAACCGAGCGCTCGCATTTAAGCGTGCAGGCGAGTCGAGATGGCCACTTTAGGGATTTCTTAAGTTTATTAAAGGTGGTTGTAGGCATTTTTTCTCTTTTTGTTTTGGCCAATTTCCTGGAAAGACTTGTCTCGGTGGGGCAGGGTGGGAGGGAAGGAAGCGCTTCTACACTTTGGACCATGTGGAGGGGGTGCTGCCTGTCCGGCCCCGGGGCGGGGGGCGCTGGCCGCCTCCACCCGCGGAACTGCTGCTGGGGCGCCGCGTGTGGTGACCTGGAGAAGGTGGGCCGGGGCCAGAGCCGCTTCGGTCTTGGCTTGTGGGCGCTGCGCGCTAAATTGCCGGTGCCACCGCCCCACCCAAGGCCTCCAGGACGAACAAAAAGCCCAGGTGTCTCCAAGGAGCTGGCCCCCAAGGAGGCGGCGCGCCCCGGGCCCTCGGGGCCTCGCGGGGAGCTCGGCTGCACCCACCGCGCCCCGCCCAGGCCGGGCTCCCCGCGAGGCCCGAGAGGGGTCTGGAGGACCCGCGCGCCCGCCAGGAGGCTGGGTCGTCAGACACGAAGCGGCCTTGTCCCCGGGCCAGAGACAGGCCCCCACAACTCCCCTCGGCCTCGCCGGCTGGAGATCAAACGCTGACAGGGCAGCTGTGTCCTTCCCCGTCTGACAGGCAATTTCAGTCCTCTCCTGGGCAGAGGAGCAGGGGGGAGGTGACTCCCGGGTTGTAGTGATTGTCGGGGAGGCGGGGAGGGAACTGGGGGACCTCATGGAGTCAACCTTCTGCAGAGATCGGGCCATACCTCCTCGTGGTCCGCGAGACCCAGGCCCTCTCCCACGTGGAGCGCCCCCGCCCCTTCGCCCCACGCTTTCCGGGGGACCCTGGCGTTTGGGGGTGGGGCCTTGTTTGACCCCTTAGGAGTTAACGGGGTGAGGGAGGACAGGGGTTTGCGTGAAAATCCCTTGTGGGATGAGATTTTAAAAGGTCTCAGGTTCCAGTCTCCCCAGACCTCCTGCTTCTGATGGTGTCCTCTTATTTTCGTCCACCCCCATCTCCCGGTGAGTAACACCAGAATTTGTATGGAGACACTTTTTGGAAGTTTGGCCCTGACTCCCCAGTAAAACAAAAGTAAAAGCAACCGCTTTTCCAAGAAAGGCAAGCACTTGATCTCATCCCCTGGTGCCTAGATTCAGCCTAACCCTTTCCACCTACGCCCCACCAAGTACACAAGTTTTTTGGGGGGGTGAGGGATGGGGGTGGAGACTGGCACTGATTTAGTTTACTTCACTCACGGCACCCCGCCCCCTTCTCAGGGGGTCCTGCTCCCAGGAGGGAAGGAGGCTTGGGGAGGATTTTCTTTTATTTAAAAATATCCTGCCAGGCCCCCCCGCCCCCCCCCGCGCATCCGGTGCTTGGGGAACGAGACGAGCGCACAAAAACGCGGTTTGCACGTGTGGCCGGCTTGGGCTGCGGGTGTGCGCACGGCGAGTGTGTGTGTGTGTGTGCGCGCGCGCGTGTCTCTGTGTGTGCTTTCTTGTTCTCTTCCAGGGTACAATGTTAAAAAGCCACCGCTAGTCGCCCCCAGTGCTCCGACTCTCTGGGTCTTTTTGTCTCTAGTGCAGATTAAACGTCACGTCCGCACTTGAACTTGAATTTTATCCCATTGTACAGAGGCAGCCCCAGCCATAGAGAGACCGAGAGCTCCCGGAGAACCCCGACTCCGCCATCTTCACGGTGCAATCTATAGCTCCCAGTCCGCGCCCGCTCCGACCCAGGCGCACTGGGCAACGGCCCCTGAGCCCCGCTCGCCCTGGGCCCGCGGCGCCGGGGGAGCGCGGGGAGCGCTCGGGGACTCGGCAGCCTCCGGCCGGCGCCAGCCCGCCAGGTGACCTGGGAAGCAGCGGCCCTGGGAGTCCCCCCGAGCCTCGGAAGGGTCAGTCTCCGAGGAAAAAGCAGGCAGCCCGCAGAATACCCAGAAACAAGCGAGCCGCGGCAGTTTTCCATTGCTTTGGGGTTTTTGAGGGGGCGGGGTGAGGGGGGTACGAGACAAGTCCCCAAGTTTGCTTTGGTTTTTTTCCCTTTGCTTTTTCTTTTTTCCTCTTCTTTTTTTTTTTTTT